GTCAATCAAAGGACAATCAGGTGAGATCACTTTGTGCAGTTCAACTACTGGTCAGTCAAAATCGATCATTCTCATCGATCAGATCCAACTTAGTAAATCGATAGAGAGAACGACAACAACAACGACAACAACAACAACATCATCATCATCACTATCACCAAGAGAAGCAACAGCAATGAGGGATACAAACAGCTGCCGCCGTGGCCGAATTTAACTGAGAACAAGAAAAAGGAGAGAGTTTCATTTTCGAATCCCGGAACTCTTTAGAAAGGCACGTTCAAGGCCGCCAGCGGAGAGAGTGAGTGCGAGAGAAAAGGCGAAAGAGAAAGAAAGAACGCCGGCAAACACCACCCCCGCTTTGGCAGAGTAAGAGAGAGATGGCACAAATCCACTGTTCCGCTGCTGCACTGAGTATTGGCCCACTGAACTCAGGAATATTCTGTTGCTGCTGCTTGAATGCAGCCGTGCTGTAGTTGGGAGAGGCAGACAAAGCTTGCCGAGATCTCGGCAAACAGGAGAGTGAGAGAGAAGTCTGCCTGGATGGCCAGACGACCCAATGCCGCTCGACCCAATTCTCGAGGAGACCAAGGCCACTGTCATCCGGGTTGCTTCTGCTCTCTCCACTGGCATTGTGCAACTGGCGCCAGCACAACAATCGATGCTGCAAACTGCTGCTGCTGCTGCTGCTGTTGCAAGACAATGCAGAGCTCTGTCCGGCAAACTATCGACACAAACTAAATTATAAAATTGATTGAAAATGAAAACTAAATATTTTAACAAACGGTAGCATCTGCTGGTACAATCTGTTTATCAGTACTGTCTCTAAAGTAAAAAGAGCTTTCTCTCTATTAAAACAAGTTAGATCAATCAGTTTTGGAAACAAAATGAAAAAAGTTGATACGATTGCAGCAAAATATTTACTTTTTATTCTCAATTTTATTTACATAGAAATTCTGATTGTGATAGACAATTTTTGTTTAAAGTGTTTTTATTAAATACTAGTTTACTCAACTCTAATAGACCACAACGTTGTTCAAGTAAAAGCTTTGTCATTGAAGTACTTGAAAGTGTCATCCGGAGAATTTTAAGGCATGTTAAAGACAGCTCGGTCGAGGTTGCTCTGGGACGCATTTTCAACAAATTCTTTCCCTTTTTCCCAGTTTGCAGACAATCACTTGAAACAAACCGCAGAGAGGTACTTAGCAAGAGAAAAAAAAGAGAAGCACTCAGTGCAAGACACTCAGCAACTTAGCATCTGCACAAGTGATCGCTTTTGAAAAGAAAGGCGTAATTAGGTCAGATTAACTTGATAATTCCACTGTGCCTACTGAAGAGCGCCTACTTGAGAATCATGCTCCAGTTGAACAATTTCCCCGGTCTCTGTGGTGGCAGCTCGTTGCAACTGCTGCTAATTATTTACTAGCCTGAAATTGACATTTTGCCAACAACACAAATTTTCAAGTATGATCTCAAGTCTCACCTGGCTGAGTGTGGAACATTAAAAGTGTCAACCACTACTAAATATGACAAATGAGAAAGAATGGAAAACAGTAACAGTAATTGAAACAGAGAAACTATCGCGCTACAATTAACAATCAACTGCCAGGGAAAGGGTGCCTTTGAGGTTTAGTCCATTATCAAGATCACACACACAAACAGCATGTGCATGTTGCACCACCGGTAACAGCAGTTGGAGCATGGAGAAGGCAAAAAAGGTGATGCGGCAGCAAATGAGCCAATAAAAGGGCACCCACTCACTGACATAGACCACTTGCTACTGCTAGGAGGCCATTATTACTACCCAACATTTATCGACCTATAATACTGAGCAGTCTCGGCAAGAAGGCTGCAGCATCTGCTTGAATATTTATCAGTACTCACTACTTTAACAATGAAGGTGAAGGTAAATGTCAATTAAATAAACCATTAATTGGCAGNCAAGTGCACCCACTCACTGACATAGACCACTTGCTACTGCTAGGGGGCCATTATTACTACCCAACATTTATCGACCTATAATACTGAGCAGTCTCGGCAGGAAGGCTGCAGCATCTGCTTGAATATTTATCAGTACTCACTACTTTAACAATAAAGGTGAAGGTAAATGTCAATTAAATAAACCATTAATTGGCAGTAAGAAAGAGATAGAAGGGACTGATGCTACAAAATCACACAACCAAGTGAACTGTTATGCAACAGTGCCTACCAGCAAAAATAATGGTTAGATAAAGATGGTTCAATAGATGAGAGTTGTCATTACTGGATTGAGCTGAAGCATCAAACAAACTGTTGGTTTGTGCATTTTCAATTAAACCCAGCCAAACTTAGTAAATTTAAAGAAAAATTACCTTTCAAATCGGTTGATGAAAATTTAAACGGACTCTTCAGTCAATGAAAACTCATTTTTATCAAGCTATTTTTATTATCAAGAGCATTTTGTTTTTAGTGGTTATCAAAAAAATAATGATGCTTCATTTGTGTATATTTATTAAAATGGTTTGGTAGCATTGGGTGTTTCACGTGAAAAAACCTTAATTCAAATAACATTTGTTTTGTTGTTTCATAAAATATTGCAATTTACAATGACGTAGTGCCATAATTTGAACAGAAATCATTTTGCATTAATGATGTGCATCTTTAATCATAAATAGAAAGGCAGCAGTATCAGCCAACAGTTTGGTGGTTTGTGAGTGTGTGTAGGTTTGCTCTTGAAAGACTGTACTAGAAATGAACTGAAATTGAGTTTAAAAACTAATAAAAGGGGTAAAGAGTGTTTTTGTGTGTGCCTGATAAATGCGAAAACGTAATTAAATTTGACAAAAGAAAAAAAAGAAAAGAGAACGGGCCAAAAATAGTAAAGGCTGATTTGATTGACCCAATGCAGACTGGCTGCTGCTCTGCAGCACATTTCCAGACAGAGGCTAGTGGTTTACTGGCACTGTTTGCGCTTAAAAGCAACTCACAGTAAGAAAATTCAATGACTTAAGTAGCGGCGTGATTCTCAATGATTGCTGTGCTCACACGCGTTTTTATTAGTTTATTCTTGCTGTCATCGGATCATGCTCGACATCACTGTCCCTTCAACTGTCGGGGTCATTTTCAAACTGGTTTTGGCAGACAATATAATGAGAAAAGGAAGAAGACAAGGCTGTGTTTGTGTTGTGTCTGTTTTTTGTATGTGTCAGTGTGTGTTTGTTTCTCCGATGTTTCAGGTGTGTGCAGTTTGTCCTCTAACGAGTCAATAAACATTTGCTCAAACATAATATTTTTAATATGCTCATGATTTCAGGGTGTAACACTTTGCCGTTTCCGCAGTAACACTTTGTTTCAACAAAATTGAGACAAAAGTTTGAGAGAAGGAGAAGATAATGATGAAGTGAGAGAAAGAAGAGAGGACGAGCAATAAGTGGTTTTGTGTTTCTTGTTGTTGGTTGTGTAAGGAGAGTGTCGGGAGATAGAGGCGAATGGCAGAAAGGTGGGCAATAGAAGAAAGGTGAAATATAGTTTGTTTGTATCAGTTGAAGAACAAAGTTAAACATGAAAGTGTAACATGAAATAGGTATTGTAATAAATCAGATTTTAAGTTTTGCCAAGAAGGTAACAAGAGCGTATTTTTATCTTTGTCGGGAGTTCCAGTGGTTCCAGTGGCCATTGCGAAATGGCTGAGAAAATGATAATGGTGAAGATTGAAAAAAAGAATAAGCAGAAGTAAGAGCAAAAATTATTATAAACAAGAGAAAAAAGAAAATAAATTCAGATTTGCATTCAAAATGCTACTCGGTAGTAAGAATCAGAATTAATAATAATAGTAAATAATAATAGTGTTATCTCCATTAAAGAGAATGAAGTATTCCTGTCAGAAAGAAGATTCTGTCTGTGTGGTCGTAATAAGAAGAAAAGGTTAAAATAAAATTACCAACAGAGTGGCGGCTTTGCGGTGTGAGAAAGAGAAATCATAATAAAATATAGATAATTGAGAAAGTGAAATCAAATATTGAAATGGTCAGTCGAAGAAAGAAAAGTTGAGAGGTTGAAATAAGGAAGCAATTGACAACTATCAACAAAAAAGTGTGTACTTCTGTGAGTTGGTGNGAGGAGAAACAGAGGGAGAAAAATCATTTTTTTAGGGATAGGCTGATCTCCATTAAAGAGAATGAAGTATTCCTGTCAGAAAGAAGATTCTGTCTGTGTGGTCGTAATAAGAAGAAAAGGTTAAAATAAAATTACCAACAGAGTGGCGGCTTTGCGGTGTGAGAAAGAGAAATCATAATAAAATATAGATAATTGAGAAAGTGAAATCAAATATTGAAATGGTCAGTCGAAGAAAGAAAAGTTGAGAGGTTGAAATAAGGAAGCAATTGACAACTATCAACAAAAAAGTGTGTACTTCTGTGAGTTGGTGCAGCGTTTGCAGAAATGTGTTTTTGTGTGTGTTTTTAAACTTTCCTATGTTTTTTTAAAGAAATGGAGAAGAAGCATATTTGAAAAGGGGAAAATTTTCTCAAGAAGTTGTTTTTGTACAAACATCAAGTTTTTGCACAGTAAACGCCGTGTTTTTTGTATGATTCACTGACTCTTGTCGGTTGCTTCGGTGTTTCAGTTTCAGGCGCACAAGTGAAAAAAAGAAAGAAGTTTTTGTTTTATAGTAAGAAGAAAAAAGTAGTAAGAATAGTTCTCTGAGACGGTGAAGATTGATTGGTGAAGAACTGATTGTTGCCGATCAGATGCGGTAGGTGTGTTTGTTTGTTTGTTTGTTGTTTCAGTCAATGTTGATTCTTTTTTGCTGTTTTCAGTTTAAGTTGCCCAGTAGTTGACAGTCCAATAAATGATATAGAAGTTATTGTTTAGAGTAAAAAGTGAATCAAGGTAGAGAGGAGTTCTCTGTTGAGTGGCTTTTTGATAGAATATTCCATTTTCAAGAGTCTTGGCCTCTAATGTGGCGAAGATTTGTGAAGCGGTTGTTTGCCTAGTTGAAGTCGACCACTCTCAATAAATTAACTTTATTTGGAGTTGCCGTTGCTTGAGGTGCTTTTGCCAGCCTTGTCACCCTCCACTGCCGAGTTGGCGGCACTCGGTGAGTTGATCTTGTCAACGTAATCCGCAAAGATGTCTCTGAAGCGTGCCCAGGACCGTTCTGGAATGGTGATAGACGAACGTGTGTTGCTCTTGACCTACCAAAAACAAAAATGTTAATTGAAATGCCCTAACTTCTAAAAAATCCTAGACTTACCTCAGAGATACGCATAAAGACGCCAATTTTGTTTTGACCAACGTCAAAGTAGAACTTTTTGTTCTCGACGCGGAAGTTGGTGCTATCGGGCAGAGTTTCTCTGAAGCCAGCTACATTTTTTGGTGTTGAATTTAGACGTTAGCAGATGTTTGAAGATGCCGTACATTTCACTTACAATTAGTCTCACTGTCTTCGCCTGCATCATCGCCGCCAAATTCATCCAGCAAGTCAGTGAGTGCATCCCTGAACTCGATCATTCCCTGTGCAGGAATGGCAATCTGAGTTCGCGGTCCGCCGTGCGAAATCGACTGAGAAACCTGAAGTGTGGCGAGAAAATGAGTAAAAGTTGGCACAAAACAGCCTTTAACATACTCTGAGAAAACGACCACGCGGATTTTCCTTCAAGTCCAGAAAGTATCTTCTATTCTCCTTGATGATAATCTCCGACTTGATCTTGCCATCCTCAGGGAAGTTGTCCAGATTTGGCGGTCCTAAGTGAATGTTCATCAGAATAAATACCAAATTACACAAGCAAAAAAGACTTACCTAGAGACGCATAGAGTTCCGAGAAGGAAGTTAGATGATCCCTGAACTCTCTAGCTGCCGACATGGACAGAAGTAGTCGACTCTTGCGTCCAGCAGTGCCCACCTGTTTACAACAAAAATATACGCCAATGAGCTTGAGTTTTTTAATCGAGCCAATGAAAGCATTACCTCAGCCACTTTAATGAATCGTCCACGATGGTTCTGCTTGACGTCCAGGTAGAAACGCTTGTGCTGAATGAACAGCGTCTTCGTGGCGAGCTCCTGTTCATTCTGCTGGCTGCCACCCTGCTGGTCTCCGCCGGCTGAAGAGACTGTGCCAATCAAGGAGACTAATTAATACACAAACAGTCAGAGAGGACAGGCATCTTTAAGTGTTTAGTTGAGGGTGCTTGTTGCACTGCTGAGCAAGTGCCATTGCTCTTTACAACCATCAGCCCAGCACCTGCAGCACTGAATGGCGCCATTACATTGCAATCTGACCACCACCAAACTGAATCATTCCCATCGCTCCCAGGACGCCATCTTTTGCAGAGCAGTGAAATTGCCCCTAACCGGAGATGGCAGATGACAGGTGCAAGCGAGGCAGAGCAGAGTGACTGGCAGGCAGACAGTCACTGCAGTGGGGAATGTCCAGAGGCTGCGGGGAGCACCGAGCGGCGGCAGCGGAATTGGAGCCAAGCAGGGCTCACTGAGTGCACAAGAGTCCACACTGACTCTTTTTGCTAATTGTCGCCACTGTGACAGTTCTCAGGATGAAGGCTCTCAGGAGAGAGGAAGAGAGGGAAAGAAAGCCTCGGAGGCGGCGACAGCAGTAGCAATATCATCCAGTGTCCGAGGGGCTGCAGAGCCGTTCAAACAGGCCATTCGCACCGATTCACACATCGCCAGCGGAATCGGTTCCTTCAATTGGTCGGCGCACCAGTGACGGCAGCAGCAGCAGCATATGTTGCTACTGCTTGCTTACTCTTCCAAGACGCTGCTTTTGAAACACTGTGTTTCAGCGAGTGGAGGATGCAGGGGAAGGAAGGGAAGGGGGCGAAAAATCAGCAACGCTTTTGGCAGGCACAGACACGCGCCGTCCTGTGGATCTGTGTACGACAGCGGCAGGGAGCCAACAGTGTTGTACAGCAGTGCTGTACAGCTGGCTAAGAACTGCAGAGGATACTCCTGCTCTAGCGAGTGTGCAGTGTACAGCCGATCGGGCATACGACGCCGTTTCGCGGACAGTGCACGGGTAGACAATGGAGGACCGAAAGAGAGTGAGAATGCTCAGTGTACGACTGCTTCATATGGCTGTGAGCTACCAGCAGCAGTACGACCACCATCACCGGTAGTGGCAGCGGCTGAAAGACAACTGATTTGTAGTCTGCCAGTGCTTCTGTCGGAGCTTCAGTCTGAGCAGGCGCCGATGGCTCTGCTGCTTCTCTTCTCTGCTAAGGGCACACACTCGACTCGATAGCTGGTGCTAGTGCTGCTGCTGCTGCTGCTGAGACGTCGCCTCCACCACTCAACACCCTTCTTCGGCGGCACAAAAACAAAGTGTCCACATACACTCACTGCTTCGGCTGCCTAAGAAAGAGCAAGTGAGAGAGCGTCTTTGTGGCTCCTTCTCGCTCTTCAACGCTCGGTGCCCGAGTGGAGACGCCGACAATGACCGGGCGCCGGAAGTGCGTTTTAGGGCGGACAGCGCTGATGACAGTGCTACCAATCGCTGGCCCTACCCCTCCCCTTTCACTATCACNATGCGTTTTAGGGCGGACAGCGCTGATGACAGTGCTACCAATCACTGGCCCTACCCCTCCCCTTTCACTATCACTGGACCCTGGCGCTAGAGCTGAAGTTATGGCGATGGGAAAGAGATGTAAACACAGACAAAGAAGACAGTGTCTGTCTGTGTGTGGGCGCATTCAGTTAGAGCACTGCATCGCTAAAACATCTGGCAGTTGGTGGCACTAGCACTGTGTGGTTGCTCTCTGCTTAGATGGCTGGGCTGAGGATAGAAACACACTCAACAAAAGACAACAAAAGAAGTCTTACGTGAAGTCTGGTGGGAGTCGTCGCCGCTTCGATCGTCAGACATGGTCGCTGTGTTGTCGAGTAGTTAACGTTTTCGAAAGTTGCAGCAAGTTGAAGGGCTGTCAGTGGCCAGTGCTGGCGCTAATCCGCGTACAGTCAACAAAGGATGGTGGGCGTGTTAGTGCTGCGCCTTGTCAACCCAGCCGTCGTTCAGTTGATGTCGTTTCTAGTGCTGGTCAGTGCTGTCTACCTCTTCAGCAGATGATGAGGAGGAAGAGGAAGATACCAGGGGCAGTCAGTTAGTCAGTCAGTCAGTCGGCTCAATCGATGACAATCAGCAGCTTGGCGGCGGCAAGTGCCAAATTAACTGCTGTTGCGGCTACCGAGGAGTCTACAGAGGAGAAAAGAAAGAGAAAGTGTGAGTAGAGGTGAAGTGAAGCCAGGCAAGTGGCGGTCGTGGTGGTGGTGGTGGTGGTGGTGGTGGTGGCCGTCTCTCCCTGACTGATCGGCAGCGATGCTGTCCCCTGTTTGCTTACCTGTGTGCACACTAGCTCAGCCTCACTCACTGCCTTGGCCTGTCAGTAATCCTAGACCACTCTGGCACGCTGTCTTCGGTCCTGGTGGCAGTTGCTGTCAGCGGTGACACTGCTGTCGGGGGAGTTGCTGGTGGTGGGAAACGGCTGGCTTCCGGTGATCGGACAGTCGGATTGGAGGAGATGATGATCTCACTGGGACAGCAGCACCGGACAGAGACGGCTTGCACTTGCAGCTCCTTCGGTCAAACTCATCGCCGACACAGACACAACTTCATTCACACTGGCCAACAACACACACACACACACACACTCACACTGACTTTCGCAGCACTGACAACAACTCAGCACTCAACCAACAACCACACAGACGATCAGCACAGCTGTGGCAGTCAACTTGCAGGGACTCTGGCGAGAAGGCAAGGTCGGTGTCAGCAGCCGATGAAGAGGTACGCTGAAGATACTACACACGGTGGGAAGGGAGAGAGGCAGCAGAGGCAGACGGAGTGCTCTCACTGTGCAACCAGACTCGTTGTTGGCCAGCCACACCAAGACACTACCACACTCTCACACTCTCACAGTGCTCCAGACAAACGATGACTTCTACACCTCGACGCTGCAGCTTCTACTTGCTTCTCCAGGCAGGCACAACTCTCATGGCAAAGAATGGCAAGCCAGGCAGCCTGCAGTGCAAGAAAAGGGAGAGAGTGCTAAGGGGCTGAGAACATGGCTACAGAACAGGCGCGCGCTCACTTGCTGCTTTCTCCAGTCTCCCCAATCCTCACTCACTCTGTTTCTACTGCCTATAGAAGCGCCGACCGAAAGAAGGGGCTTCTCAAGATGGCTGATCACAGAAGCAGTGACGACACTGTGGAAGAGTGCCAGGCTCTGACACTCGGCCACGCGATCCGAGGAGACCACTACCGAAAGAGCAGAGAGTGCTCACTGTCAGTGAATGCGATTCTCAAGAGCTGCTGATGCTGCTGCTGCTGTCGCTGTCGCGCCCTCGTGGCCGCTGTGGACTCTCTTCGTAACAACAGAAGCAGCTGCCAGTGCGCCAACTTTGGCATGACGTCCCAAGAGCACCCAGAATATAGAATAGCCCCCCCCTCTCTACTGACGAGGTTCCAAGACAGGGCCGATCGTGGCGACACCGGCGTTGCTCGACAGTATTTTCCCCAATCAGTGGTCCGGAGGATAATCATCTGTCAGCATGATTATTGCCCATCCACCCGGTAGAGCTCAAGTGGAACCGGGGGCCAGAGAATTTGTGCAATTTTTGATTTGATGATCACTTAGGCACTTGAGGGGATGTTTTGCTGATGAGCTCTAGAGATCGAATCTTTGATCTAGCAGAAAAGACTGTCATAGGCAAGGAGTGTGAATCCGTCACCTTGTGTCCACTTTCCAATAAAAACACACTGAATTTGGAAGCCAAATATTTACTTGACGTCTTCTTGGAAAATTACAGTTTTTAGTTACAAAAACAAGTTTACTCGTTTTCTTCAGTGCGCAGGCGGGCGTTTCCGTTGGTCAACTTGATGGACAATTGACGGGCACGTTCGACGATATCCTTACGCTTCTTTGAGGAGACAGCGTGGGAGATCTCCGCGCAGTATCGTCGGTTCATCATCATTAGGACTTCCAATTCCTAGAATGTTAAAAATAAATGCGACATTTAGCAAAACAAAGGTCACTTGAGCATTATAATTCCCGAAACTTACCTTGATGTTGTGAACGAGCACCTTGCGAAAGCCATTTGGCAGCATGTGCTTGGTCTTCTTGGCCGATCCGTAACCAATGTTGGGCATAAGAATCTGGCCCTTGAAGCGCCTTCGCACTCGGTTGTCAATACCCTTGGGCTTACGCCAGTTTGGCTAATAGAGAAAAAAATTAGGTAAGTTGTTATGTCCAAAGCATTGAAAACTTCAAAAACTAATATCAACAAATGAAAACATACCTTGATCTTGCGGTACCGGTCCGACTGGTGGCGACGGAACTTCTTGGTCCGCTTCTTGACGATCTCGGGCTTGTGCAGAGGAACGATAGCCATCTTTGAAGGTCTGGAAGGCCGGAAAACGAAGGTAAGTGGGCGATCCCCGGTGAAAGAACACCAAAAATACTCACACTCTTACGAGCTAACAGGAAAGAGAGCAAGTGGAAAAGAGGCAAAATGCAACGTGACGTCGCTCTTCTGAACACGCCGCAAAGCACGACCAAAGCTACAGGCACGCTGCGCCACTGTTGCGTCGCTCGTAGAGGACGTATGTTTAAAAGCTCGTTCAACTTTTTTGCTGCACCGCGTTTCAGATTTATTGTAACAGACTTAGCGCGCACTTTAAAGTTTAATTAAAAATTTAGCTAAAGATAATATTAATGGCCGCCTGGACGTCGCCATTGGTGGCCTCCAGCGCCTGAATGGCCACAATGTCGTCGGTGATGCCCAGTTCGCGCATCTGTCGGAGCTGCGGCGCCCAGCCAATGATTCGAGACGCTGAAGAAGGCGGCTGGCTGACTGGAGCTGGAGCTGGAGCTGGTTGTCCAGTTTGCTGTTGCTGCTGAGGTTGCTGCTGAACTACAGTAGCAGCAGCAGGACTAGGGGTAGCGCTAGGAGGTGCAGAGGTGGCCGAAGAGAGCGCCAAACTAAGCATTTCTGGAAAAACAAAAGAATGTTAGTTTTATAACCCAAATCTTTAAAATTATTACCAGGCGTAATGATGGTGGGCAGTTGTCGAGACGGTTGCTGCGTGGCTGCTGCCCCAGATCGCACGTTTTGTCGCTGAATTTGCTGGAACTGGTGCGCTGCGTTGAGCAGATTTTGGAAGCCTTGAGTTGGGTGACCAGCAAGTCGACCACCGCCGCCACCACTTCCGCTACCCGAAGCCTGTGTACTGTTCGAATCAACAGAGGAAGTCTCACTATCGTCCATCTCATCATCGGATGGGTAGTCAAGTGAGTAGTTGAGCAGGGCACCACGGCCGAGATTGTCCAAGTTGAAGGGATTGCTACTGCTCGACTCCTCGTGAAAGGTCGCAGCGACATGAGTGGCCACTTCCAGGAAGTTGGGATACTTCTTCAGAACCTTCATGATGTTCGTCGGTTTAATGAAGGTGTTTACCAGAGTGTCGTCGGTCAGAATGCCGAACAGGGTGGGATCATCGCGCAGCTCAGGGTTGATGGCCATCAAATTTTCGCGCTTCTCAATGTCTGCCAGTCCGTCAAGGACTTTGCGAAAGTGGGCATTAATTAGAGCACTTTTAACAGCAACGCAGCCTTCTTGCACTTGAGTGGGAAAAGCTGCTTCTGTTTCCTGTGCCTGCGGAGGTTGTGGCTCCTTGAAGATGGCTTCTTTCTTTTTCATCAGGTAAACGATAGTGCCCTTGCTGTTGATTCCATACGATTCCAGCGTTTTAGCGCTGCCAAGAGTTTGACCGAAGCTAATGATGTCTAATGAAATAAAATGAGTAGTTTATACTTTGTAAAATAAAATTTAACCTTACCAAAAGTATCTTTGTCAAGATTTAGTTGCTGTCCAATAGTGGTGGCCAAATCGGATACGGTGCAATTGAAATTAGCCAGCTCCACTCGGTTCATCTGCTCTTGCTGCGTCGAGTTAATTTTATTGCAGACCAAGACAAAGTTACTTGGAGCAGTTTGCGTCTCCATGATGAGATTCTTTTCAGTAGTAGTTTTGTGCAAAATTCAAACGATTCTCGTCAATTTGTTTGTCACCACGACGCCACACAAGTTCACTAGTCAGTTCACGTACTAACTGCGTACCGGGGAGCGCTTCTACTGTTTTTAACGCAGTAGCCTCTATTGTAGCATCTAATAGAACTAAGAATGTAGAATTACCAAAAAAGATGTTCGGTGCTGTGTAGCAGTTGCCCTAGTACAAAGCGACGAGTGAAACCACGACGTAAACAAGCAGTGCAGTGAGCGATGCACATGCGCCGCCTCTGGCTTCAGCTGCTGTTTTGTGTTGTCTCCAGGGGAGCTGTGCCGATCGGCAGAGATCACCTTTGATCACTGCCACCGGTGTGATCACCACCGAAGGATGCGACCAGGGTGATCACCACCACCCAATGAGGTCGCAAAGCAGCAGCAGCAGGTGCAGCAGTCGTCAGTTCATTGGCCGTCGTCATCGAGAAGAAGAAGTTATTATCAGCAGAGCAAACATACGACTATGACGATTAATGGCCGTGACTGGTGTGTCCACGACTCGAGGCGACGATGGTGATGATAAAGTAGTACTGGCGCAAACATCTAATGTTCGTAGTGTCCCCTGCACCAAAGCACGTCACTGTGAGGCGGAGGCAGCAGCAGCAGCAGCAGTAGTAGTCATCCCTGGCCACTGTCACCTCTAACCAGACCACCGGCGTCACCGAGGCTCACTTTGAGCAGCAGATCTTCACTCTACATCGAGGTAGACAGTTGTCATCGAGGTAGAGTGTCTCCTCTTCAGTGCTTTATACTTGTCGCCAACCAGAGCCACCAAAGCAGCAGCAGCAGCAGCCGTACAAGTACCCACATCACACACACACACACATTGTGCCTACACAATTGTCAATTGTAAACTCGCCTACTTGCCCCTTACCAAATGTCAGCAAATGCCAAAGCCGTCATTTGGTGAAATGATGAGTTCGTGAAGCATTCGCCTTGAACATGTCGCTCACCATCGGTTGGTCTGTGCGTCCACTGAACAGCAGCAGCAGCAGCCAGCTTCACACAAGCACCACCACCTCCGCCGCCATCACATCTGTGTTTCAGTATCGTGCCGCAGTGTATCAACTGCCACAGCTCACCATCACCCTCCTTCTCACTTAAGCGCTCCTTCGGAATCCAACTACCTCACCATTGTGCACAAACACACACACTCATATACTCACTAAGATTAATAGCACTGAAGAACAGGCATACAACGTGCAGCAGCAGCAGCAGCAGCAGCAGAAGCATGTCTCGAAGCAAGTTGTTGTAATGAAAGTTGTTCTTGTCATCTTCCCTCATCGGTGCTCTTGTTACCTGGACTGCTCTCCTTTTCAGCACAGCTCTCTGTCTTCCTCGCCATGGACGATCGCAACTTTCGCTTCGGCTACTACGAGAAGGTCGGCTTCGGCGGCATTGAAGAGCGCAAGAGCATCGAGATTCTGCTTCGCGAGCAGCCCAAACCGCCCGATCTACTCAACCGGCTGGCCTTTCTCATCTCCAAATACTCCCTCTCGCCCATCAATCGCAAGGACGTCTACCGGCTGCTGTTGAATGTCAGCTCGCCCAGCGCACTCATCACCGAGAGTCGTCTGGAGGTGCAGCGTCAGGTGGCGCAAGACTTTATCCGCGCTCTGGAGACCATGTCCTTGGTTGACCCGTCACTAGGCAAGGCAAAGTATCTGGACTTTTCCCGTGAAGGTCATCCTCGACTGCTGGTGCTCATACTGCTGTTCGAATTAAAGCAGCTCGAGTCTGACGTGAATCATCTGGTATGTGCTAGTGATCAGCAACAGGTGGATTTCTAATTAATTCCATTGTAGTTTTCCAGGGTAGACGTTGAAGATCTTTTATGCATCAGTGACGTGTTTATTAGGGAATTTTTACTTTTAAATACTCCATACTCTCTTGAAGACAGCTACTGGCTCTTCAAGCACTTTATTTTGCTCACTGAAAAGCACTTTCATGGCTTACTCTCTACTGTAAGTAATTGATGAGTAAAAGCTGACTAATTCTCAGGTAACTCTCTTTATTTCACAGTATGAAAGATTTATTCAGAACCTGGCTAATGAGGACAATGTACTGTACCTGCATCTGCTAAAAAATGATATAATCAAGAAGGGCACAGTAAAACACAGTGGTCATTTTGTCAGCTCTAACGGAAGTGCGCCTCGTTTTACTAATGCTCCTCCAAACTCATTGTTCGCCTCTTCGACCAGTTCTACCGGGTTTAATATAATCGAGGATCGCATAAGGAACCGACACAGATACAAAATTCACACCTTTAGGCCGTTGATTACCTGGTTTATTCGATTTTTTGCCGGCATCATCCACAACACCCACCTCATAAAGTTTGTTTTTACTATATTCATGGAGTAACTCTTAACTTTAACTGACGTACAACCTAATTTTCAGAATGTTTGATAAGCTTATTGGCGGCATGTTCCTTGGCCACAGGCACTTTGACATGCTGATCTCTGTGGGCAATGCACTGATCATGCATCGACGTGGAGAACTGCTTACTCTACACTCCTTTGAAAGCATCACTGCTTGCATTCTTTTGGTTCGTCTTTTGTTGATCCTTTCTTCTCTTCACTAACTAACACAATCACTTTGCACCGTATTTCAGCCACTTTCATTTGACGATTCTCAGGAAATAATTGACTCAACTTCTAACTAGAAGAACTCAAACACTTTTTGGTGCTAACAAATTACACTTAAGCGCACAACACTTGCTTTTCCACAAGCATAATTGCTTTTTATAAGCAAACAAGTTCCTTATTACCCTCTTCTTTAGACTTATTTTTATACATTTTGTCAGCCAGAGTCCACTAGTCAAAGAACCATCGTTTCTTGAAGATGTATTTTCTTAACTACAGACTAAACAGTAATTGACAGTGATTGCTTAATTTTGTATAACAAAACAACCACCCTTCAACAATAAAGTATACTATTTTTTAATAAATAACAAACAGGGATACCTTGTTTTGAACTTGCTTTATTTTTTTTGTTGCAAAAAGGTCAAACTAAATAAATACAATGTGGCAACTCTTGATCACGACTGGCCCACACACACACTAGTGGGCTTCATTTTTGTTGCCATTGCCAAAGAGGGCAGCGTACGCCTGGCCCACCTTGCCGCCATTCTGTACAAAGTTGGCCGAACTGTGAGGTGGCTGCTGCTGTTCATTGGTACCACCACTGGGCCCACCACCACCACCACCACCACTGGCACCGCCATTAGGACCGGCGTAGAAGCCGGCAAAGAGCGCCAGTCCGGTCTGCTTGTCCATCAGCAGGTACACAAAGGGGTGATCGGCCTCAAAGTAGGGCCCGGTGAAGGTGCCCACGCGCTCAATGGAGGAGGTGCTCACGGCGGCGCCCACACTGCCCACCTCGTCCACTTTGAGGATGGCCTTGTGAAGTAACTCATCCATGTGAACGCGACCAGGACTGCTGCTGCCCAGTGACGCTGCCCGACTGCTGAACATTGCCTCCAGGTTGGCGTCCTCGTTGGAGAAGAGACTTTTTAGGCCCATCTGAGTGCGGAGGACGTTGGTGATGCGAGGCATCGAGTTGATGGCAAACTTGGGCAGGCGGACGTTGACGCCCGCAGAGCTGCCTGCTGCTGAAACAGTGCTGCTCGACTGTTTGTCGTTTGCAACGGCGCCACCACCAGTTCCACCACTACCACCACCACTTCCTCCGTGGTTCACTTTGCGCATAGAGAAGATTAAGTTGGCAAAGACGGTGGCGTTGAGTGAGCCGAGCAGACTGAAGAGACCAAAGGTGTCATCAGGGAGGAGGACAAAGAAGCTGAGTCGTGACGTCTTGTAAGGAAGCTCAATGATGGACGTCTGCAGGGCAGCGTTGTAGGCGTAGGCGAGCGGTAGCTGGGCGACCATCATCTCCACCTTGGTCGTGTGGCCGTTGATCATGCGGAACCAGGCGTTTGCTTCGGTGTCGCTCGGATCGAAGCGGTACTGCCACTCGCCCTTGAAGCGAATTGCATTCACTGCCATCAGCGAGGTCATAGGCGAGGGCGGCGTCGTGAGGAAGTTGCTGATCATCTGCGCCGTCTGCTTCTCGATCCACTCGTTGATCAGGTTGAGGACGCTGTAGGAGTCCTTGGCGAAGTTGACGTACTTCACGTAGGCAAGGTGGTAGTGCTTCAGCGCCAGTGAGTACGAGTTGGAGATGGGCAGGCCGTCCTGGACGAAGATCTGATTAGCACTGTGCAGCGACTTGCCGAGCGCCGCATCCTCCAACAGACTTCTCACCGCCTTGCCGAAAGCCTCGTGTGACTTGGAAAAGGTGACATTGTTCTCTGCGGCGTCAATGTGCAACACCTTGGCGATCTCACTCTTTGTCTGGCCCTTGGCGCCCAGGTGGATCATCATGAGAATGGACTGGATGCTGAAGGGCGAAAAGGCGATTGACTCGAGGTTGCCCGTTTTCATGTCCAGACTGTTCATGAAAATTCCATTGAGCAGGTCAAAGGTAAACTGCAGGTGCCCGTCGCCGATCCACTCATTGCGAAGGGAGTTAAAGACGGGCGAGGAGGGATGCGGGTGAGACGTTCTCAAACTGTGATTTGCAATTAGTGGTGGCTTGAAGAGGGGAGTTCGGTGCGACGCTGGCACTCTAATGCCCGGAATAAGGCCCCTTCTGGAGACGGACTCAACTTGGGAAAAGTAAAGGGCAAAAAATGGCAGTGCCAGCAGCAGCATTTGCACTGGTGGTGATGAGAGTGATTGCCACTTCATGGTCAAAAGAGGTGTGACTAAAGTGAGGTACAGCACTAGTGGACAGTTTACAGACTCTGTACAAAGTGTACACTGGAGAGGGTGATGACGGACATAGCTCACCGACTGTGGCACTGACTATGGTGATGATGATGATCGCCGCTTTGCCTCTGTGTGATCTGTTTCTACGATCTTCGACTGCAGAGATGCCGAGAGCCAAACAGGACCACTGTGCTGTGGCTGTGGTCACTTTCATCCAGTGTTGGTTGGTGGTCCTGTTGGCCAGTGACCACTGAAGTTGCCAGTACTACCTGCACTGATGCTGATTGGGCAGTTAGAGAGAAGGAGAAGTGGTGCAGAGGTCAACGACATAGCGGGAAACGGTGTTTGTCGCGGTCAGCTCACCGCAACCTAGAGAGAGAGAGAAAGAGAAGAGTGCCACCGGTGGACGGCAGCCGAAAACGGATAGAACTGAAAACTTGCTGCAGTGTCGACGGTGACGATGACTGCGCCGTAGACAAATCCAGTTCACAGTCAGTTATCACAATGTTTGCAGTGGTCATCTGCTGCTGCTGCTGGACAAAAATAAAGGACATGGTCTCTCTCACTCTTGTCAGTAGTCAACTGTGACAGTCATTGTCACAATTCGGTTATTCAAGTTCAAAGTTGAGTCATTTTGGCTTGGTCGCCAGAAGGCACTTGATTTCTGATGATAAAGTTTTGGTAGCCAGTTGATTAAAAAATAATGACAAGTCAAGAGCCAGCAACACTCGGTTGCTCATTCGGAATCTAACCGTCAACTACTCTCATCGCGACCAACCCATCACTAGCAATGATTGACTGGACCTCAAGATCACCGAGTAGAAACGTATCTGAAGATGAGGACGACCTTTGGTACAAGTTCGACAATTCTAAAATGTTCATACATCCAGTGCACATTGTCTACTTGGAATGCCACGAATGTGACCAAAAGCTTTCCTCTGAACGGCAGCTGCTAGAGCACTTGAAGGAGAAGCACAAGATCTATGAGTACCAATGCAATGCATCCCCTTCCTGCGTCTACAGTTCAGTCAAAGTGTAAGTCTTATAGAGAGGTCCTGAGCATCAAACTGGTTTTAATTTCATTTTCATTTTTTAGAAATAAGCTGCAAAAACATCATAAAGCTGCACACCCCGGAAAGATAATGTGGCCCTGTCCATTGTGTGATGAGGAGTTTACTCGGTGGACCGATTTAGGTAACCACCACTACAACTATCATGCTAAAGGCCACTTTGAGTGTAGCGAAAAGGGATGCACCTTTTCGGGTGCTCGTCGGCAGATAGTGTTGAATCACTATCGAAAAGTTCATGAATCGGAAGAAAATTAAGCTGATGAGGAAATCACCATTCACATGTTACTGTTTTTAGCTTATCATTTTTAACTGTACTCTTATTCACAAAACTGATCTCAATAAACTGACATATTCAACTGTTTCAACAAATGTTTGTTTAGAAGATTAGTTCGTTTTGAGAACACTAGCTAGTTTTACCGTTTATAAAAATACGCAAAACCTGGTGTTTTAAAAAGTTCTTGCTTCATTGTGATACGTTTTCACTTTTGATTTTGTTTCTCACTAACTAAAAATTGCTCATGGGCTGTTGTCAATCGTCTACCGCTGCTAGCCAGAATGCGGGTGCTGGTGATATGGACGGCAAGTCAACCTGCGAAGAGGGTTTTGAGGTGACCAACGATCCAGCGGCGGCCTCTAAAAAGGACGGAAAGAAGAGCGGTGCTAGCAAAAAGGAAGCATCCAAGAAAAGTGGCAAAAAGAGCGCAACTTCGAAGAAGACCAGCAAGAAAAGCGGCGCCAGCAAGAAAAGTGCTAAAAAGAGTGCCGCCGCCTCGAAGAAGCCCGAGGAGAAGGCCATCGAGAATCCACCCTAGTGGGCTTGTCATTTTTTTTAATGGTTCTAATTGAGCAACTTGCTGTTTTTAAAAGTAAACTCTATTTACAATTGAGAAATCGTTTCATTTTAATTACTTGTTCAGCAATAAACAAAAGAATACCTCAAGGGAACACTTTCAATTGTTTTCAGAACTGACATTGCTCAGTCAATATAATAGGCTCTTTTAGGCATTGCATTTACATTTTTACTGAGGAAAAATTAGGAAAGGGACGATTGTCATTATTATTTACAGGTAATCGATTAACAGTGTTGAAAAAGAAAAGGAGAGAGAGAGTATCACATCGATTGAGTGTGTCAATTGGTGGTGAGGCGATTGAATGGATCAAGGCTAGAAGAAAGAGAGAAAGGGAAAAATTGGGAGGATGTTCTTGTCGTAGTGTTGTGTATACAGTATCGAAAATAGCGGTAATAATATAAATTATTCATCCTTTGTGTTTGCTTTGTTGTAAGGCAAGTGTGGTGTGTGCAAATAAAGAAAGAGATTGCTGACGAGCTCGAGGCAAGAAAGAGCAAGAGAGAAAGAGAGAAAGCGCTGAGAAAGTGAAGAGGCAAGGCAATGATAGAAAAAATAAAATTGACAAAAAGAAAGGCGGGAAACACTTTGGCGAGAGGTAAAGATGGGCAAGAAAGAAAGTGAGAGCGATGATGATGCGAGAAATGGACAAAATGGATAGAGTTAAGGCAAGCTGGCTGACAACGCTTACTTAATTAGTCTACAAGAATGGTCTGTGTTTGAATTTCCGTCTCCACAGGCAAGGGTCTGATGCGAGCATGGAAGGGCGGACCACCACCAACTGGACCACCAGACAGACCATTGGAGAGCGACTTCTGAGCGGCAGTCTTGCTCACCTCCGGCGTCGGCGGCTCACTTGCGCCCTCGTTGACGTTCATGTTCGAGTTCTTCCGCTGAATGTAGAAGACGANGCGACTTCGGAGCGGCAGTCTTGCTCACCTCCGGCGTCGGCGGCTCACTTGCGCTCTCGTTGACGTTCATGTTCGAGTTCTTCCGCTGAATGTAGAAGACGACCATCATGCCGAAAACGAGGACGCCCATGACGCAGGCGACCAGCACGCCGATGATGTAGTCGGTGTTCAGGCCCAGACCCGTCCGCAGGACGACAAAGGTGGAGAGGTGGCCGGACCAGCAACCGGCCTGTTGGTAGGCGATGCCCAGCGGNTACCAGCACGCCGATGATGTAGTCGGTGTTCAGGCCCAGACCGGTCCGCAGGACGACAAAGGTAGAGAGGTGGCCGGACCAGCAACCGGCCTGTTGGTAGGCGATGCCCAGCGGGTGGAGGTCGTCCATGCGCCACCGCTCCTCCGCCTCGTCAAAGTAGTGGCACTTGGTGGCGTAGTCGACGCCGCCGTAGCTCTCATTGCCCGTCACCGTCAGCTCGAAGACGGCCGCCTTCAGCAGGCCGCTGATCACCTGTTCCCGACCGGTCCTCGGCGCGTGAATGGTGATGTCCAGGACGGGGGAGAGACGGTGCGTCCGCTCGTTCGCTGGAAAGGGACTCTCTCCGGGGAAGAGCGTGACGGAGTAGACGACACTGCTGCAGGGCAGCGCCTGTCCGCAGTCCCAGCTGTTGCTCAGGTTGGTGCGCACCTCCTCGCCGAACTGCACCCGAGCGCTCACCGTCTGGTTGGCGCTGAGGCGGCCCCTGAGATCGACATCAAAGGCGTTACTCAGGTGGGTTATCTCGGTGATTGCACTGTGCAGTACTCGCACAGATGGGGGCAAACCTTCGGAGTTGCTGCTGTCTCGGTTGTTGTTGTTGCTGTTGCTGTTGTCCCCGTTAACCGGCACGATTCTCTCCGCAACCAGAACCAATCGACTGCCCAGGGGCAGCTGCGAGGCGGCGGCCTTCTTCAGCTTGGCAAAGGTCGTCCTGATGTCCTTGAGGTAGGCGGCCGCCGAGGGGCCGCTCATCGACATATTCGCCGCTCGCTGCTCGTCCGTCAGCACAAAGGCGTTCATAACGTTGGAGTAGGCGATGCGAACTGAGTTGATCGACGGCATCGTCTGCATCGCCTCGGCCTTGTCGTAGAAACGGACGATCAGCGCCAGTAGCTTCCGTCGCAGCGTAAAGTTGTTCGTCTTGAGCAGTGAGAAGCTGAGCCCATTGAGGATCACCTCGTAGTGGCCGGCGGTGAGCATCAGCGAGGGTATCTGCAGTGTGTCAGTGGCAAACTCGATGGTGGCGTTGATGGCCGCCTCATAGGAGCGGTAGCTTTCATTGAGCACGTCCGGCTTGAGGAAGATTGCATTGGTGACGCTGAGCGCGGTCACCGGGTCGCCCGTTCGGTGGAGGCGACGTGCCCGTGCCACCAGCCCGTCCACTGCCGCAGTCAAATTGGCACTGTTTTCCACGCTGACTGTTTGTGAGAAGTGCAGTGAACAGGTGTCGAAACGATCACAGACGCGAATGGCAATGCGAGGCAGTTTGGTGCCGCCAAAGGCGGGCGGCCCAGCAAAGAGAATGACCGGAGACAGCTGAGGAGCGTTCACAGGAAGCAGTGTGGGAAAGTTTTCATCCTCCAGGTAGACTTGGTAGGTGACCGGAGAGCTGCTCGGTGCAAGGTTGCACTTTTCCACGTTTACGGTGCTCTAAAGCGTGTAAAGTTGGTTAGCAAATCTGTTGTTTACTTTAGCTTACAAAGCTTACCAGCTCCAGTTCAACGTACGAGTCAACAATAACATTGC